TTGAAATTTAGATCAGGGAAATTAAGGGTTAAATGTTCAAAAGAGTTGTAGTTATTAACTGTTTTGGGAGTAATCAGTAAGTCAGACTGGAAGATTGTTGCTACTCCTCCTCCTCGCCCAGAACTTCTGGGTATGTGAAAATTTAAATAGCTTGAAGGAGTTGCCTCATTTATGCTCACATTATCTTCTTGCTGCAGCCAGGTTTCTGTAAGGCAACATAAATCAATGTGATTATCACAAATCAAGTCATTAACTAGCAGACTATTAGAGGAAAGAGATCCTATGTTAAACAAACCGCATTTAGTTGTTTTAACTTTTTCCCCAATTGGAGTTATTTTGATTTTAATTAGATTATCATGATTTACTCCTTTGGGAATCTTTGCTAATTTATTAGATTTTGGTCATGGGCAAGAGGAAGAGGGGGGGCTGTCTGGTTTCTGAGTTCTGCCAACATGTATTCTATGGGTTCAAATTATCAATCGATTTGATTTTGAGAATCTTTCTCAGAGGCAGTCTGGCTGGGTCTGTTTTCTGAAGGTTTTGAATTTTTGTTGGAAGCGACTGATTCTCTGATTGGTGATACATCTCATAATTACGAGATACCGATCTCGTAATTATGCGCCGTGAGTGCACGCCGCGATGGGTGGAGGGCACCATTCGCACCTGCAGCAATATCAAAAGGGCACCATGCGTATTTGCAGCCGTAGAAAAAAGGAACCATGAGCACCTTCAGCAATGAGAAAAGGGCACCATAACTGCCCACCGCGGTGATAGAGGGCGTCATAAAAACCTGCAGCGATGAGAAAGGTATGCCATAAAGCACTTGTTGCGATGGTGGAGGGTGCCTAGGGCACCAGCCACGATGAAACTCATCTAATAGGCAGAAACATTGCGCTGAGGGGAATGCCTGAGACTGTGCTGACGTTGAGACATGCAGTGATGATGATCTGAAACTAAAAGCACAGATTAATAAATGCAGAGGGCTACATAATCACCAACCAGACAACAGGAGCAGCAGACACATAATAAGCTTCCTACTGGGTCACTAAATGACAGTAAAACATGGTGAACTGCCGGAATAAAACTGCAACGACTCCACGTGGCTTGAAAATGACCATGATTCAGTATAAAGTGATAAAAATTGAGAGTCTGCTTGGGGATCAATACATCTCAATCTCAACGCGCCGACAGAGAAGATAGACTTTCAAAAGAGAAGCTTAAGCTTAATTTATCATTTAGAGTGACGAGACATCGACTACAAAATTCATCCCATCTATGCGGTGAAGTGAAGACTTCATTGAATGTTACGTGATAAGCCATACCTAAAAGAACGTTTTTTTGATTTTATTTTTTTTAGATTAAATAATACAGACACCACTAACGTAAATATTTACCCAGCTGACGTTTTCAGTCGATCATGTTTAGCCTGGTGAAATTAAATTAGTTAATGGACTTACTGAGTCCGATTTATGAATTCGGGTTCCAGTAACTTGAGATTATTCATCTAATATATAATGCGGGATCAACTAGTGTTGCTGATTGACTGGCAGACAGCTTATGTGGTTAGACCGAAGCATTATTCAAATATATTTTAAATATTAAGTTCAAATGATTAATTAAAGTCAGTGGGAATAGGAATCACTTAACTTTCGGTTTCTAAATTCAGCCTTCCTTAAAATTGAAATGTGACAAAGCATGAGTTGAAATCGAACAGACTGAAAGAAACGCAGGAATGACGTGATTTGTCCATCAAATCACCATGACATGATTGACAGAACATTGTATTAAAACCAGCTGGGGACCTTGAAGGCAAAGATCAGAGACTGATGTTAATTAATCATGAGAATCTGTGAGCTGGAGAAGCACCGTTAAATAGAAAAAAGAGCTGAAGGTATGAATGAGGAAACAGTAAAGCCTTGAAGCAATAAGTCTCACCTGAAGAGAATCAGTGTCCGTGAGCTGAACGCAGAGCGAAACACAGAAATGATTGGAGGCGGGGGAACAGGGAGTGGCAGAGCCGCGAATCTCTGCAGCATTGGTGGATCAACAGGTGTGTCAGAGGACAGGATCTGAGCTGCAGGCAGAGCGGAGGATCCAAAGCTCACTACGAGTCATCTGAATGAAGTCAGACTGTGCATCCACCACCTGGGCACTAGGAGCAGACCAGTGCAGATAGGAGGCCTTTAAAAATGAAATTTGGATGCTGATTGGCTTTGGTGGAGCCGTGGTTCAAAGCTGATTGACTGTCACAAGTAGATGTAGGAGAGCAATTAGTTTCTTCAGTTGAACTTCCATCTAGACTCCATGTTGGATTTTAGGATTCCTGCCTGAGTTGCCTGTGAGTACTACGTTATTCCATTAAAACAAAGAGAAGTCCCCTCTGCCCCCCTGCCTCTGCATTTGGGTCCTCAAAGCCTCAACCAAACCCTGACACTTCGTATTCATAAACAACTGTGGGCATCTAAGCTTGTCTCTTAAACTTAACTGTAACAAACATGCTCTCTAATATCATTATTAAAATAGATTCCCCAAATTGCTCATTGAAGTCCATTCATTTCAGAGATCTAACATTTTTTTATTTCTCAACAGAGATATTTTCATCATGGGCCAAAGCTTTCCTTATTCTTCTCATCATCCTACTTGTTTTTGGAGGCCTTTTATTTCACTTCAGGCAATATCTCCAGTCAGGTGAGTTTTAATTATAATACCCATAATGCCATAAAGGTCCAGTTATGGTTTTGTGACTGTTGTTTTTAGAAAAAAAATATCGGTTCAAACTCAACATACAGAAGAACAAAGTAGGTAACAATAACAAATAATAGCATGAGAGCCTCACAAAAGCAGCAATTCAATTTAGTTTATTTATATAGCGCCAGGGCTCGATGATAGGAAGAAAATATAATATCAGAATATATTTGGACTATATCGCGACAGACAATATATATCATGATATGTTTAAATTGTCTCTCATGTCGTACTCAATCAAACTTTTGGTTTCAAATTGAATTAAATTTTATTTCGGTTTAACCAGCTCAAAACTTTTCACTAATAATTTTATCACATGATGACTTTGGGTGCCAGTATTATGCTACATTTACACCTAAAGCAGCAGAAGCTGCAGGAGCAGCTAGTTTACATGCAAATTCAATGGTTGATGCACATCAAGGCACAGAAAAAGGTCCGTTTTCAGCAGCAGGTGCAGTGCATTGCAGCTGCTGCTTGAGTTGGAAAAATGTAACTTTTGCTGATGGACACGCGACATCAACCAATCAGAAAGCTGATCTGGGAGCTGGCAGGGAGTCAGACGCAGCACTGTTGATGCGGAGCGCCATGATCACTCCTCTGAAACAGTTTATTAACGCCTAAATTAACTTCAAATGTAGAAACCTGCCGGCAGAATATGTTGGCTTTTATTATCCTGCTGCCTGCAGTTTGTAGCACAGACCTGAAAAACGCTAACATCTACTTCCAGCCGCCACCAACAGTAAAGGTTTTATAAAGTGGAAATTCAGAAAATTATAAAACACTTCACCTTATACAACAGTTCTAAAAGAATTAGAAACAAGAAAAACATGACAAGCAAGAAACTTTCTCTGAAAGCTTTCAAAGGATGCAATATTTGGAATGTTTTTTATATAGGCAAAAGGCAAATTTATTTGTATAGGACAATTCAGTACAAAGACAATGCATAGTGCTTTACATGATTAAAATATAGTAAAATAAACATGAATCAAAGTAAGTAGGGAAAAAATAAATAAATAAATAAGATAAAATAAAATAAAATAAGAAATGCAGAAACAAAAAAAGAACATTAAAAACATTTGGACTAAAGAAAACATAAAGTTGAACTAATGATGTTTCAGTTGAACTTTTTAACTGGAACAGTCGAAGGCAATCCTAAACAAATGTGGTTTTAGTCTTGATTTAATTGAAGACTAAAAACGGCGGCCTCCAAGGTTCCTGCTGCTCAGACGGCAGCCTCCAACTTACTGCTGTAGAGACATTGGCCTTATGGCCGTCTTTTGGAGTCACTTTTTCGTTGGAGGCCTCCTAGCCGGCTGGGTTTTGATCCTCTCAAACCTCTACTCAGACCTGACAATGTTGCCTCCTAGTTTCTATGTGCTTTTGATCTGAATATTTTATCACAAATGTTTATTACTGGGCTATGTATAAAATACTCATCAAAGAATCTAGAATTACACTGATCTTATAGAAGATACGTCTGATGAAGCTTTTTTTGTCACAACAGTTGATTCTTTGCTTTGTGTTTCCTCAGTCTACAAACTGGAGATAAATTCAGGACTGGAGTCTGTTACGCTGCCCTGTAAATCCATAGTTTGTCTGCCTAAAGATGTCACCATAACATGGAGAAACAACAAAAAACATGTTGTCCACATGCATCAGGGCAATTCTAAAAAGATTGAAGAACAACACAGGCGGTACAAAGACCGAACACAGATGAAGGAAAGTTTTAAACTTGGAGACTTCAGTTTGATCCTAAAGAACCCCACAGACAAAGACACTGACATCTACACCTGCACCATCTCCAACATCTCAGAAGATATCCTGATCAAGAAACAAGTGCTGCTCGATGTCAGAGGTAAGTGCTGTACATGTAGGTTTCACATTTTTACCAGTGATAAAAGGAAAAAAACCCTATATGGTAGGGTTACTTAAATGTGTTTCTTTAAGTAACAACACAGATCCCTACACTCCGCAAAGTGCGGAGTGCATTCCCCCGTCCTGCCCCCTCTGCTGGATGGTGCTGTGGTCTGCCAGCTTGTGCTCTGTGGACTTGGCGGACTTGGCTGGTGCCCGGCTGGTGCTCGGTGTTTTGGGGGTGGATGCCCAGGCTTATTCCTGGCGGCTGCTTCGCCGGGCCTGGTCTGCCGGTCTGCCAGGGCCTGGTCTGGACTCGCTGGGGAGCGGGTCACCCCTTGGGCCTTGGGTCCCCAGGGCCCATGGCCAGTTCCTTGGCTGGTCGTTTGCTGGCCTTTGGCTGGTCCTTGGATATTCCATGGCTGGTCCTTGGATATTCCTTGGCTGGCCCTTGGCTGGCCTTTGGCTGGTCCTTGGATATTCCTTGGCTGGCCCTTGGTTGGTCCTTCACTTGTCTTTGGCTGGTCCTTGGCTCGTCACATATTGGTACAGAAACTGTCTGAGTGCTTAAAATCGGAAAAGAAAAGCCCACTGACATCCTACTGAAAAACGTCCCACTGCACATAGAGGTAGAACTTAAACATCCTAGCACTTAATACTGATGCATGACACCCCATTTACGCATCTACATGGTCGGGTTTAAACCCCGATATCGGTCCTCCTTGTCACAACTGTGTGAAATAAATCATCAAAGTAATTTTGTTCTCAGTGTCTTGTTATCTGCCCCTTCTTGTCATAACTCCATGCAGAAAGACCCCGGGCCGGGAATCCAATCCAGAATCCTTACTGCTGCCAGCAGTGCTACCCACAGGCCCTCTGTACAGCCCCCTGTTTTTGACTGTTTTGCAATAGTTGAGAATTTCATAGGTGTGTCTAGCAACTAAAGTTTTTTAGGCACAGAGCAGGATGGTTAGTTTTGAGGAGCAACTCTCTGAGCTTGAGAGGAAATACGTACAGTTGGACATACTGCTCAACCGGAACTGTAAAGTGAGGGGAAGAAACAGCGGTTAGTTCAGGCTTAGTGGGGAATTTGACTCGAGAACTTGGGGAATAGGATTTGGTTGCCGACTTACATTTCCAGAGAAGTTGTTGAATCCTAGACTGCTGTCTTTGTGCCGTTGTTCCTGTGTTAGTCTGATTCGGTGGAGGGCGGAACAGGGTTTACCCAGAATGCGGTTGAAAGTTGGTGAATGGAGAAACTGACTACCACTCAGATATATATATATATAAACTATATATATGATGTTTCCATAATTTATAGTGTTAAACAGTTAAATCAGTTAACAGTGTTTTGGTCTTTATTCAGATTCTAACTTTCTCCTCTCTCCATCCAGCTGGAGCTGACTCTTTCATCATAGCCATAGACATCGGTTCAGCATACACTGGCTATGCTTTCTATGTCAATCCCCAAAATGAAGGAGGTGAGACCCAGATAAAGAGATGGGGTAAGGAACTGGGACTGGACTCCCCAAAGGCTCCAACCTGCATCCTGTTGGATGAACGTGAGAAATTCTTGAAGTTTGGTTATGAAGCAAAAACAGTGTACAACAATATGAAAGAAGAAGAGGCTGAGAAACATTATTTCTTTGAAAACTTCAAGATGGATCTTAATTGCCGAGTAAGTATAAAAGAAATTCAAAAACAGATTTTTTTTCCACATTAGTAACAACAATAATCACTCCTACAAAGCATATAATCATTCAGGTTACACATTGAAAACAAGCAACAGGAATACAATGATACAAAGCTCCATTTGTATTTATGATATAAAGAATATCCTCAGTGTTGTATATTATTACTTGGTTCTTTTAGATTTTTAGTGAATAGACAGTGCTGGCCTCTTCTGGTGTTTTAAACTCCTTCTCTACACCGTTGTGAGTAATCCAGAGATGCGCCGTATAGAGCAGAACTCTATCAAACATTGTTAAAGGTGCTATTCTAGGAGTGTGATCAGGGAACACAGAGACATTTTATTCTCTAAATCTTGACCTCTGCATGGCGCTATATCAATACAATCAGTATATCGCAGACGGGCGATTATAGGGTGAGGGCGCTCTCTGGGTCTCGACTTAAGCTGAAGAATATGGCCCATGAGATGCTCCTTTTCAAGCTTAAAAGCCTCCTTAAGCAGGGTAGATACAGCTGCAACCGTAGGAAAAATGGGACGATTCCCAGGGATTTCCACTAACCGTATGTTATTACACCGCAATCTTGCCTGTGAGGCCTGTAGGTGCAGGTGGAGAGCAAGATTTACATTTCACCTACGATGCTTTTCAGAGTTCTCATATTAGCATGGAAGTTAGTGATGCAGCTTTACAGTTGTGACCTAACAGGCTAGCAACTCAGTCTTGATATTTGACAAGTTCTCAGTCAAGGCAACTAGGGCTCAGTTTTTAAAATCACTGCCATCTCAACATGGAGTGATGAGAGCAGCTGAGCCTTGAAGTTGTGAGGAGTTTGGCCTCCACCTTTTACCAAGCAGGTGGAGGGATAACTACAAGGCAGGGATGCAGTGTGCACAAAAGGCCTTGCTGGTTGTATAGGTGGTTTAACCTTTGGATGCATTTTGGTCATCATAAATACGTTAAATATGTATTGTGATGGTGAGAAAACTCCCCGAAAACAGACGCAAAATTCAGAGTACGGACCTGGTGGATGATACAAAGTAATTGTCGATACTGCTCCTCCTAGCTCACAATGTGAATGTCTGGGAATGTGAAAATGTAAAGGTATAGTGTTTCATGGTTTTCAAATGTCTAACCCACATGCAGAGGACACACAGGAGTCAGGAGAACGGTTAAACAGATTTACTCAGGGTCTGGGGGTGGGGCGGTAAGACAGCTAATGGAGCGGGGCAGGAGCAAGGGAGGCACAGACACTGACCAGGTTTACTCACAAACTGTGGAGAGAATCTGGAAGTTATTGTGGGAAAAGGAAAGAGAAGACAATCAGCTTGTCACTATCTTACCGTGCCCGTGAGCGGACTCGACCCGGGGGGAATGAGGAGGAGCAGACACAGTGGGTCCTCCAAGACATGGAGCTTCCAGGTTCGGTTGCTGAGGTAAAAGGGAGCTGGCTGTTGGAGGGTGAGCAGAGTCTGAACGGCGTGATGGCAAGTAGCTGCAGCAGGCTGGCAGCTGGAGAGGTCTGGGATATGCGGTGGGGTCCTTGGACTAGCTTGGTACCACCAAGGGATCCTTGGACTAGGATCTTAAGCTCGAGAGATCGTCTGGAGCTGGATCGGGAGAAGACAAGAACCAGAAGACCTGACTTGAGACGCCAGACCACAAGAGAGCCCTTGTAATGGGATCCAAGGCGAGAGGCAAGCTGATAGGGACAGGAAACAAGAATTATGAGAATGACTACCTGTCCTGAGACAGTGGCCAACTGAGCCATACCACAAAAAGTTAACACCTGACGTTGATCAGCCGGCCGCCCTCCGAGTAAATCCTCCTGTCATCACACCACCGAACCAGCTGCAGCTGTGCACCACGCCCCCTGTCCAACTAGAGCAACCTGCAGGAGAAAAGGGGAAAAAAAAGACGCTGCCCACTGAGTCCTCACACTGAAAAAAAAATAGAGGTTGACAGAACTTACATTTTCTAGGCAACGTGATGCATTTGGTTTTTTGAGTTTTCCTTACTTAAATTCACTGTGGTTGAGTTTACAAAGATTTTTGAGTTCTACCAACTTAGGTTTTTGAGTTTCACCTTTAAGTTCTGAGTTCTATCAACTTTGTTTTATGAGTTTGACAT